TACCTGCATTATTGTTCAATTTGCAAGATGAATTTTATAGTTGGTATCGAGGGGCACTGCCTCCTTGTGAGGCATGTGGCTCGATTCAATTATCGACTATGATTACGTCTTCGAAATCTTCATGTATTTGTTCGAAGAATTCTCCTTATGTTAACCCGGCAGATAAATGGTTATTACAGAATGCTGTTTTTTATACTGTTAATCGCTTTCTTGATAAATCATCAACAAACAAAAATTGGAGCGTTATGTTAGATCCAAACTATTCGTCATTATCATCATATGAACAACATAAACGAATTAATTATGCAATTTACGATTGCTTTGTCGTCACCTTATTACATCAGGCAATTTATGATAAATGGTCGTTAATTAAACTTCGCGAAGCTCAATTAATATCTTTATTTACTTCAAATGCTCCACCTCATTCGTCATCATTAGCTACATCAACATTTTTGGAAAATATTTCCGACAATGAACATGAAGTAACATCAACATCTTTACTGATTTTAAATGCTCCACGTCATCCATCATCATTACCATTATCAACTTTATTAGAAGACATTTCTGAAGATGAAAGTGATGATGAAATATTTATGTCATCCATTTCCAGACATCATGGTACACATCAAGCAGTTAATATATACAACTCGCCATGTTGAAATTCTTCCTGCTGTAGCTCATGATGATGATGTTATAGAACCTATTGTATCTGATCAAGAATTATCTTCTAATGAACCACCTAAACTACGTCGCAAATGTCGTTCAGTATCAGCTAGAACACGTCGTAATCGCAAACGAAATATGGTCAAACATCTACATCGTGATTAACATATTATTTATCGCAAAGTTTATCACCGATTCAATATTCGTCAGATAAAGAACATCCTTCGTGCTCGTAATGTTCGATATGCCCATTTAACACTTCACAAATCGTCACAAGTCTTATCAATTGGCATGAAAAAACCTTCTCTGGTGGACTTACACTTTGATCGATTACCCGGTGATTTATTTGATAAAGAACATTATCAACATTATCGTCAAAATGAACATTAAAAAAAAAAATTTTTTTTCTTCTTTGTTTTTGAAGTTTTTCCCCTTTTTGTTATTCAGTTGTCTTTCTTTAAATCTAGTCAGATTTTTTTCTGTTGTTGATTTTTTTCTGCAAGTTTTTCTCTCGTTGTTTGAAAAACTTTTTCTTTGCGGGGAGGGGGAGGGTAAGGGTGTCAAGACCTGACCTCTATTGTCATTCTTTTTGTCTTTCCATTCGATATATGATATGTTGTTGTTTTCTTTTCTTTTTACTTATATAACTTAACAAGAGAAATAAACAGTCAGATAAGATATTGTAAACATTGAACTCACTTGCCTTAAAGTTATCCACACATTGGTGGTACAGTATCTTACAGTAGTCTTCATTATTCATATGCATTTTCATTTTTTCGCTGTAATAGAATGTGTATAGCTATTCACATACCGAACACTTTTCTCCTAGAAGAAATCATTTTTTCATTTTTCGATTGCATTTTTTCTATAGATATCTTCATTATTCATATACATTTTCATTTTTCCGCTGTAATAGAATGTATATAGCTATTCACATACCGAACACTTTTCTCCTAGAAGAAATCATTTTTTCATATGTCCATTCCATTTTTTCTGTTGAAGTCTTCATTATTTCTATGCATTGTCATTTTCCCGCTGGATCACAATCTGTATCGCTATTCACATATCTTAGGCTTTTCTCATAGAAGAAATCATCTTTTCACTTTTGCATTCCACTTTTTCTCTAGAAATATTCATTATTCATATGCATTTTCATTTTTTCCGCTGCAAGTGAATCAACAATACCTATTCACGTATCTAACACTCTTCTCATCGAAGAAATCATTTTGTCACTTTGCCATTTCATTTTTTTTGTGGACGTCTGCATTATTCCTATGAAGTTGCGTTTTTTCGGTGAAATTGTATCTGTGTACGTGTTGAAGTACGTTACGGCTCACTATTTTTGACTGCAGCGACATTTTTCTGCTGGAAGTAAGCATTTATGTAACTGATCAATTCAATGGCCAACCCTCGTCCACTATATAATTCAGACTAGGGGTGGCACTTTAACTATATTTTAAAGTTAAAGTTTAAAGTAATACTTTAAACTTTAACTTTTAAAGTTTAAAGTACCACTTTAAACTTTAGCTTTAAAGTTTAAAGTTTAAAGTGCACTACTTTAACTTTAGCTTGTAAAGTTTAAAGTAGTACTTTAAACTTTAACTTTAAAAAATTTAAAGTTAAAGTAAACGTTTTCCTATAAACCAAAATTTTTCTTAAAAATTCAGAAAAATGAATAAACATTTATGAAAGCACCCCTACATCTTCATCCACTGTAAAATGGAGTCATCCATAGATAATCATCCACTATACATTGGAGGTACCCTTGGGGGTAACAGTCTAGAATGTCCTTTCGAAAATGTCCTTGGACGAAATGTCCTTTATTTTTTCGTCCTTACATATATATTGTATGTGAGAGGACGAAAAAATAAAGGACATTTCGTCCGAGGACATTTTCGAAAGGACATTCTAGACTGTTACCTATTAGGAGTACCCTTGGGTCATCAACTACTATACATTATGGGTACCCTTGGGTCATCAACTACTATATATAAGGGTACCCTTGGGTCATCATATACTATATATTGTGGGTACCCTTGGGTCATCACATACTATATATTGGGGGTATCCTTGGGTCATCAACTACTATATATTAGGGGTACCCTTGGGTCATCATATACTATATATCGTGGGTACCCTTGGGTCATCATATACTATATATTGGAGGTATCCTTGGGTCATCAACTACTATATATTAGGGGTACCCTTGAGTCATCATATACTATATATTAGGAGTACCCTTGGGTCATCAACTACTATATATTAGGGGTACCCTTGGATCATCAAGTACTATGCAATAAGGGTAGCCTTGGATAATCAACTACTATGTAGAAAGGGTATTCAATTGTCATTCACTAGGATATAGGGGTACTATCTATAAGCCATCAACTGCTATATAAGGGGTGGGTCTCAACAGTTCATGAACTACTCTATAATGGGGTACCTATCGGTCATCAGCTACTATATAATGAGAATATTGATAACTTTCGACTGCTATAGAAAGTGGGTATTCAGTACTCTGGATTGCACTTTAACTTCATTTCAAAATTTCAGTTTAAAGTGTAAAGGTTGACGTAGTCATATTTTAAGACCTTACTTTGAATAAGTTAAAGTTAAAGTACAGCTACGTTTCAACACTCGTATAGGGGTGGCACTTTAACTTTAAACTTTAAATGTTAAAGTAGTTAAAGTAGTTAAAGTTAATGTTTAATAGCATTTCGAAAAGAACTTAATGCTAAATTTTTCGAGCAATGAGTAAGTCTGAGTTGCGGACAATTAAACATGGTGCTGCAAAAAGAAAGATACTAACGCATCGTAAGTTATTTATTAATGTGAAATTTTTCTTTTTCTATCATAATCTATACCATATTCAGTACAGAGTCGCAGTTGGCTCAGTAGTATCCAATCGCCGAAGTTTATCTTTTGTTTGATGTTTAAATCCGCAGCTTTTGTTCTAACATCATAATGTTTTAATATACACTCATCAATTCATAAGACAACTTGTGCATTTAGTATAGTGTGCACACACCATTACGCTCACGATTCATGCATTCAATAGCATCATATTAAAGTCAGATTATCATTATGGGCTACTGTTAGTAGAGTTGCTAAGTTTATTATCAGATTTTTCTGAATATTCTGGCAATCAGATGGACTCTAAGATCAAATACACAATCAAATATATTAAGCTATTCTCTTCTACCAAAAGGCAACATTATGGAAACGCGACTTATATCTTTCCCTCAAGTTCACAATATATTACAGCGTGTGTAATTATAGGAAGTGGCTATGTGCATTCGAGTACACATAGCCAGTCGGCTATGTGCACTCAAGTAGGTATTATCAACTAGTTACTAAATATTGAGATATATTATAGCCATATATGTACTTCATAATTAACATGAGTAAAATTTATTAATTTATTAATAATTTTACTGTATTTATTTGTTGTTAAATTCATATAGAGTATAACACAAGTATTAATATCAAACAAATATAAAAGAAAAAGTTAATTCAAATAAAAATCAACTCATTTAGAAATATTTCTAGCGCTTGATCTCTTAGATTTTGAACGAAATGGTTGCATTTTATTATTTTCAATACATCGGACGGAAACTATATCGATGCCAGTGTTTTTCTTCCCTATTAATTGTGCCTTCTTTCTCTATTGATAATTTATAGAACGAAAGATTCTACGTTTTCTTGATTAATTAGCTTAGAAAATGGGAAATTGAAAAACATAAAATTCCAATTAGCTTTTAATCTGGAACGAGATATCCTTTTTTTAAGACCCATTGATTAATCCTCACTAAAGAATAAGAATTAAAACAAGATTATAAACTGAGATTCTTTCAAGATGAGAAAAATAGGTGTCAAAATTAGAGATACAATCAGAAACGAATGTAAAAGAAAATTTTATCATTATTGTTTTATAAAAAGATATTTTTATATGATTAATGTTAGTTATATTGAAAATAATGAAAATACAACTATTTCCTTGAAAAATTTAAGAGAGTATGTGCTAGAAATATTTGTAAATTAGTCGATTTTTACTTCAATTAACTTTCTCTTTTATATTATTTTGATTGTAATACTTGGTTTGTATCTTATTTGAATTTAATAAAGACTAAATAGAGCAAAATTGTTCATCAATTGATAAATTTTAATTATAATAATTATAAAGAACATATATGGCTATAATATAACTCAATATTAAGTAATTTTTTGATAATACCTACCTGAGTGCACATAGCCACTTCCGTAATTATAACAATAACTCATGGAAAGCTGGCAAAACATCGAAAGTGAAAACGTCGACAAGCAAAATACCGAAAATTATAAACTTTATAGGCACAATATCCAGGTCTTGCTCGAGCGCTCCATAAAGAAATCAGTAAATGACAACGAGCATGCAGTTCAATAGTGTGGGTGAGGGGAAAATCTGTGGCTTCTACTTCATCTATACGACTTTCGAAAAAAAATTATTTTCGAGATTTTGCATTTCGACGTTTCGACTTGCGATATTTTGCCACCTATTCTAACTCATCAGCACATCATCACCGTTTCATTTATTACTGTCAATAGAATATTGATTACTCCAAGCTTCATCTCAATGTCAGTAAAAGTCTAAGAAGAGCTATTGATACTACAATATATGTTTTTAGAAATAGTTTGAAAATAATGTACTGATATCTTGGTGTGAAATAAAGGACTATTTTCGCTTACATTTTTTCCGAGGGGAGCAATGTCGAGGAAAATTAAGACTGCCACAATAACTTTGAACAAAGACTAAACGGATGAAGGCGACCCTACTCTTTGGTTAAGTTTATCAACTGTTAAGTTCACGCAATATCTCCGAAGTTCCATTATAGCTAAGTTGAGAAGGATACTAAGTGTAGTGTTTTCAGAAGTTGAGAGCACATTCTGCCTGCTTTAAACTGATTTCCTTTCTTAAACCTTTCTTACATTTCATTCTTTTCTTACCAAAACTTTCTCGTAACAAAACTCTATACTTTAACTTTAAAAAGTTTAAAGTTAAATTCTACAATATTACTTTAAACTTAAACAACTTTATCATTTAAAGTTTGAAGTTCAAGTGCCACCCTACCCAAGGGTATCCCCAATATAAAGTATATGATGACCAAAGGGTACCCCCAATATACAGT